CCAAAAGTTAACTGTGATGCATGATTGGAAGCGATGTGTGCTAATTACAGAAAACTGGGCCTGCAGTATCAGAATTTGATATTTTTATTAACAGATGATTTAATTTAAAGCAAGTAAGCGGTTATAAAAAAAATAAAGAGCCAATAGATCTCAGATATAAATGAGATCACAAAAGTTAAACCACAGCAGCATTATTTCAACTTCAATTTCTTTAGTCTTTTTTTTTGTATTAAATGTTTTAATGTTTATGTCTGAAATGTAGACACAGGCAAGAACACCTATGTCTTGAGGAGCCAAGGGGAGAAAAGACAGGAAATAAGAGCAAGGAGAAAAAAGGAAGAGGTAGAAGTGGATAAAGAACAGCAGGGTGAGGAGAGGAGACCTGGATGAAGAACAGGGAGGAGGTGTGCCAGCACCTGGCAGACCAACCTGGCCACGTTCACCTGGTGTAACACACTGCTGGGGATGGGGGGGCTGCATTTTGGAGCCATCAGTAGCAAAGCAGCAGCAAAGCCTGTGGAAGAGAAGGAGAGAAAATGAGCACAAAGAAGGCAGAGCTCCTCCTTAGAGGAAATTCCTCCTCTTGCTTCCACCTCCACCAGAGCCATCCTGGCATACTAACGCAGATGGATGCCTGCAGCATTGAAACCTCTTGGGAGAGAAAGAAAATCCCATGGCACAACCCTGCCATCACAGGAGCCTGGAGGGGCTCCCATCTCCTCTAGAGGTGTCTGGAGGTGGACAGATGGAGCATGACCCACTGGAGACCTGTTTCAGGACCTTGCTCAGCTGCAGGTGGCCTCAGTGAGTTTTAAAGGCACTGGAGAGCACCTCTGGAGGCTGCTGTCCTGAATCGCTGCCCCAGGCCAAGCAGGAGGCTGTCCTCCAGTACCAGGCAGCAGGAGGAGCACCTGTGGTGACCCATCCACAAGTGCTGGTGTCCCAGCCTTGGGGTATCTCAGCCAATTGCTGCCAGGAACACTGGAGCATGGATGCAGGTGGTGGGAGCATTCCAATACTGCAACCTCCTCCACCCCAGCAGCAAGGACAGCAAAAATCCCTTTCTCTTGGGTGCACAGCAAGCTCATCACCAGTGGCTGCAGACACCGAAGCCTGACTGCTCTTTCTTCCTCCCACCTTTGCTTCTCCAAGCAGCACCCCATACCAGCCAAAAGCCATACCTCATTTTTTTCTGCCTTTAAACACATCCTGTCCTAGGGGAGGGGGGCTGTGAGCCAGCTAGGGGGCTCTAATGCTGCTCAGCAGGCTTGGCCCCATTGGCATGAGCGGCTGCCTCAAAGGGTTGTGATTTGCCTCATTACCAGAGCTGATGCGCAGCACCCCCAGGATGCATCCTGTGCGTGGCAGGGCTGCCTAATGAGCCATCGCATCGGTGGTCCTGCTGGTGCTGACTGGGGAAGGGAGCCAGGCTTCAAAGGATGCCACTCACTCCCCTTGTGCAGAGGAAATTACCCCATGTCATTAAAACCAACCAGCCCGTAAGCCTGCAGGGATGGGTGGTGGGGAACAACAGAGCCAGCATGTGAGGGCAGCCTTCCCTGGGGGGTTTCATGGTGGGGCTGATGCTGTTCAGAACCAGGGATGCTCCTGCTACACTGCAGGGCTGTACTGTGCTTGCAGGGCAGCTGTAAAGATTTTCCCTTTGCACCATAGTTTCACTATGGGCATCTTGCTCCTTCAGACCCCAGCAAGGGGCTGCATCCTGGTGAGGGGTGCTCTGGCACAGGGGAGCTTCAGCAATCACTGTGAGCAAATAGGAACAAGAGGTTGTCATGGATACTGACATGCAGCCAAGGGCCCGATCCTGCACTGCTCTGCTCCCCCCGGCTCCCCTTGCCCAGTTGTGTGGGATCATAGGAAGTAAAAACTGAACAAAATAAAACCTGCTAGGAACACTGCTTTGAGTTTCAATCCTATTGACCCAGCTTTACTTCCAAGTGCCCACTTTGCTGGTTTGAGCCTGGATTCCAGTGGGTCTGCATGAGGGCAAAAGGGGGTGTGGGGGGGGCAATGGTCTGAGAGCAGAGCCCCTAGCCTTGCAGGGTCATCCCAAAATACACAAGGCCTGCAGGCATTTTGGGCTTCCCAGCTGCTGACAGTGGCAAGGAGGATGAGGAAAGAGGGACGTGCAAGGAAAGGTGCTTTGCAGCTCTCTTAGAGAACACAAATTCTGAATTTCCTGGGAAGACTCAACCTCTCCTGGTATGGATTCATCCCCTAGAACTAGGCAGCAGCTTTGCTCAGGGTTTCCCCCAGGCTCAGTAGGGCAGATTGTGACCTCCACAAATTTTTACAAACACAGGGAAGGTTTCACCAGGTTCTTATTTTCAGAGAAAATGACCTCCCCAGATGTAAAACAGGCCTGGCTATTTCATGCTGAGATGTTTTGGATTTCCCATCTGAAGTTGGTCTTTTCATTTATCTTACATTATTTTTTTTTTTAAAGCTTTTATTCTGGCCAAAAATCCCATAGAGTTGATCAGCATTCTTGAAATCTGTGACTTTTTGCCAGAAAATACATTCTGGACCAGATTTATTTATTTAACTTTGGGAAATAGTGAAGAACCTTTGGAAGATGAAATTTCAGTTCCCAACATACTTCTGAAAAGCTTCTCGTACATGCACAGAATTGCCCTGATTCAACACAAGACCTTTTTGGATCCAGCAAAACTGAGATCTAACACAAATAGGAATATTTTCAAGATATTGCTTGCAAACATAAGCATCAATTAGTTATCTCAGTCTGGTTAAATAGCAGTGTGGGCAGATGATTACAAATGATTGCATTGCTGCCACTTACTGCCTTACCACCCCACGCCAACAATCCCTTTGGTTTTCCAGAAACTAAGACCTTGGTCTTAGATCCCAGTCCAGGGAAGCACCCAAACATGTGCTGACACAAACATCCCCAGACGCTGAAAGCACCGTAGGTGCCAACAGACTTCTGCCCTGCACCCAGAGCAGGAGCAGCCTGTTTTCTATGCTCCTGTGAAGCAGTACCAGGAAGGCAGTGGGATATTAAACCCTGATATGTTGCAGGAATTCACAAAAGGCAATGAACTGAAAGGGATTTTTGACCAACTCCAGGGCAGAGCATCCCCTCCACAGGGAATTCATTGAGCCTCACTGGAGGAGCCTGACCAGGGCATGCGGAGTTTTGCTCCGATGCTTTCTGCTCTCAATTGCAGGGTCAGCCCCTACCGAGCAAGCTTCCCACTCTTCTCCGTTCATAGCACAGCCCACACAGCCCAGGACAGGGCTCAACCATGACTCCCACCTCCAGACCCACTAATTACACTCCTCTCAAGATTAGTCAGAGGGAATTTATTTGCTCCAAGCTGGGCTGCAGAGCTAAGTTGGGCAGCAGCTGCTGCTGCCTCCTCATCCCAGACCTTGCCAAGTCAGCAACCTCTTTACATGTTGCTGGATGTCTCTGTGGGTGGGCATTAGTTTTGCCTTGTTAGCTTGATTGTGGTTTGGACTGCAGCCTTGTAGGCTCATTCAAAAGGAGGGTTGCAAGTTCTTTTAGGGTTTTGCAGAGGGGAGAAGCAGAGAAAGGCTGTAGTGGTTGAACATGTCCAGACTGTGCAGCAGAAGGAAAGAGCTCCAATAGTCCCTGTTCCCCAGGCCTCAGGAGGCCTTACACAACCTGCCCCCAACACCTCCAGCTGGTGAAGTAGCTCAAAGGTGATGGTCCCAGAACCTGCCTGTTCCCACCATCTCCTCTAACTTTACTCCAGGTTATCACTCTCCCTGTTTCAGAGCCTAAAACCCATCACTCTCACCACTGGCTTTTGGCTTTTCCCTACCTTCAGCTTGCTGATGCCAAAGCTGTATTCAGTCACCTGCTGCAGTCCCATAGAAGGTCCCTGATGCTGGGAAAGGGCTGGGGGAGCACCATGGAGCTTTATACCCACCCAGTGGCATCTCCTGCCTGCACCTCCCACATGAACAGTGCCAGCCTCCGCCCCTCAGGCATCACATACACCTGTGCCCTACTCTACCTCTCCTCCACGGTGCTTTTCTCCCTGTTCGCAGCTCGAAGGCAGTTTCTGGCACCCCCACCCTTGTGCTGGCCAACTCTGGGCTGCTGGCAATGGGCCTCAGCAAACAGCTTCCAGCCCATGCTTTCTGCAAAAGAAGTTTCTTGGGACAGCCTAGTGCCCCTGAAACTGCTGTACTAAACACGAGACCTGGAGCTGAACCCATGCTCTGCTCTGAGCTTTTTTTCTTCTACTCCAGGCAGCAGAGCCAGCCCATTCACTTACTTGGATTTTGGATCCAGAGCTCGTTTCTGCTAAAAAAACACCCCTTGCCCGCCCAGGCTGCTCTGTGCAGGAGCGGTGCCTCTCGCACTGCATTGCTGCCCTCTCCTGGAGCCTCCAATAGCCGCCGAGTTTAGAGAAGTTTCAGCTATGGGTGATAATCTCTTCCTTGAGACCACAAAGCTGGAAATCCTCCCGAAAACCTTATGTTGCTTGCATGGCAAGGTTGGTTTTGAAAATGGAGAGATATGAGGCTGAGCTTTCTCCTGCCCTGTCCTATATAACCTTGATCCCAACAAATGGTGTGGCTTTTTCCAGGGTATAAAAAGGTAAAGAAGGGAAACTGAGTCAGTCCTTAGTGCAAGACTGACTCCCTGCCTGGGAAATTATGTTTTCCATGAGTAAAGACAAGAAATTGATCAATTTGTGTGATAGGTTCTCCCCCTGTTATAACCTCCATAACGCCTCACTCTGTGTACGGCATATCCAGTGTTGCAGAGAGATGCTAACAGAAGCTGAACTTTATAGCAAAAGCAATAGTTGTAGTCAAAGCTATTTGGAAAGACAAATTCAGAGAGGGGAGATGTGTCCCTCTTCTCCATTGCTGGATACTTTGGCCTGTGTGGGGTGGCTGGGGACATGCACAAAATGGACAGTGGTGGCTGTAGGAACGCTCTCCCTCGATGCTGTTGGCTTGTGCATGTAGAGGGAATCTCAAGGAGCGTTCCTGCTGTCCTCCAGTTCCAGCACAGCAGGGCCCTCGTCAGTCAGAGCAGCGAAGTTCGGGGTACTGGGAGGGGAGGATGCTCCATGCGTGTGCTCCTCGTCACTCCCCTGAGATGTGCTGGTGTCCAGGTGGCTGGTGTCCAGAAGGCTGGTGTTGTTGTCATCTGCAGCAGGAGAGCCAGGCTTGGGGCCCTCCCTGGGCATCCTAAAGAACTTGGTCACCATCTCCGTCACCCTGGAGATTCCTGCCTTCTTGGAAGCCGTTGGAGATGGCATCCAGTACTCTTGTTGGAACCAGTAGCAAGAGCTGCTACAAAAAGACAGAAAAAAGTGAAAAATAGTGAAAAGTGGGAATGATTTTCCCGTAGTGAAAAGTGGGAACTCAGTGCCAGGAAGCAGCACTGGAACCCTGCAGCCACCTAGCACCAGCCGTCAGGGCCAGGATTCCCCAGAGCCATACCCAGCAGCTCCCTATAGGGTTGTGTATACTATTGCCAAGGTTTATCCCCTATATTGGCGTCCTGCACTCCTATTCTGGCATGCTGCCTCCTGCTGGTGTGACAGTGACGAGCCCAGGGTCTCCATCTCCTGTTCCAAGGAGTAATGCTGAGTTGGGGGAGCCAACACACCTGCAGAGTGACCCCAAAATATCCCATGTTGAGAGAAAGAGCTCAGACTTACAGGAAGAAGAGAAAGTTGATGGCTAGTAGCGGTGGCAGGATGATAAGGAGCAGGAGCGGGATCCTGTGTATGGTGGAGACAGCTGAGGAGAGAGAAATGGGTGGCATTGCCTCAAAGGGACAAGTCCCACTGCTACAGACACTGGAGAAAATCCTGTAGGTCCCTGGTGGGACCTACATTATTCCTAGCAGTGAAGTTGCTGAGCTCAAGGCAAGCTGGGGACACCAAGGTGGAGAGAGAGAGATCAGTTTGCTCAGTGGCTGGTGAGTGAAGCAGCGGGGAAGCTTTGATCTCTTCAGGGATAATGATGGATGAGACAAGAGCCATCTGTCTCCAAAGGGACCCCTGAGGTGTGTGGAACTGTGCCAGAATACGTGGGGCAGCTGCTCCAGGGCTCACTGCAGTGCCTGTCCCCTGTTAGGAGCCACCCGGTCCCCTCCCTGCCCTGCTCCAGTGGCAGGTGATGCTGTACCTTGCTCGGTCCTTTCTGTGACACACTCTGACATGGAGCTGGCACCTGGCACCTGGGTGGTCATGTCGTCCTTGCAGGGAGTGCAAAACGTCACCCCGTAGGTCGTGCTGTAGGTCCCAATAGGGCACGAGGAACACTGCAGGCTCTTCGGAGGGCTGAAGGTCCCAGGTGGGCACACGACTGAGGGGAGGACAGGCAGAAAGGCCTTTCTGAGCAGCAGTACCAGCTGCTTGGTAAAGTTGTATTCAACCAAGGGTCAGGGAAACTGAGCCCTGAGGCTTAAGGGCTCAGAATGACCCCATCCACCGTGTTCCCAGTGTGCAGGGGGAGAGCAGCAAGGACCCAGAGACACAGAGCCTCACGTGGGAAGGGGAAGAGGCAAGCAGAAATGGAAAGTGGAGGGGGAAGCAAAAGGTGGTGGACGCTTGGCTCACTGCAACAGTCGAGACATCTCTGCAGCTGCTTGGTCTGCCCGTAGCCCATGTTGCAATGCTTGGTCTCCATGAAGCTGATAAACTCATTGGTGAAGATGATGCCGGAGATACCAGCCCCGGTGACGTGGAAGGACTTGTGCTCCTTAAAGAACTTGGTGAGGGCAAGCCAGACCTGGGGAGGGCAATGTCAGGGCCCAAGAGGGGATCTGAGCCCTAGTTGTAGAGAAAATGTCCTCTGAGAGCTCAGTTATGCTGACTCAGGGCTCACCTGTTCGAAGTTGTGCTGGATAGTTTTGCGGTAGCAGTCTGTGACTATCTCCACGTGCTGGGATTTGCAGTGCTCATCCCAGTTGGGCCCGAAGAAGGACACTAGGATATGGAGAGCCACCAGCACAGCTCAGGTGGCTGCAGCTCCAGCAGGAGACTGGCAAAGCCCCTCCAAAAACTAACCATTAGCCACCACTGCCTTCCAAGAGAAGCTGTGGTGCTTGTCTACCTTCTAGCTGTACTTGGATGATGAACTCGTCCGAAGGGTTGTTGAGGGAGGGGAAGCAGGAGCTGGTGGTGAACTGGAGCTTGCAGTGCTGCTCAGTCTCCAGCTGCTTCAGGTTCTCGTGTAGATCCCACAGGAACCTTTTGGTCCATTCATCCTCACAGAGCTTGCTCTGGAAGAGCAGCAAAGTCTCCAGGCCTCCAGGCATGTGGTAGCCTGTGAGAGAAAACCCTAAAAGGCACTTGGTTCTTCATCCTTGCCAAGAGGGAGCAAGGATGGACAACCCCTCCTCTCCTGCCATGGCCCCTCCAGCCTTCCTGCCTTCATTTGGTCACCTTCCCCTGCTTGTCAGCATGGCTTTGGACTCACCAAAAATACTGTAGTGAAAAGTTTGTAACACAGGGAGCCCGTGGTCCATGTAGGATATGGTGCAGGAGTAGTTCCCACTGTCACTGGCCTGGAAGTGCTGGAACAGGAGATGTCCCTCTTCAGTGACCAAGAGCGACTGGGGGTCTATTGAAGGAGATGGAGAGGTTGAGGGTGGTCTCCAGAGTCTGTGCTGAATTGTCCCAGTCCCCAGGTGACTGTGCCATGCTCTCCTGGACTGTCCCAGACTTGGTCTCCTCAAACCACTGCTGAGACAGTACAAGGACTCCCAAAGCTGATCTTCCCTTTCCTTCTCTGATAAGGTATTGAGGGGCAGTGAAGAAGAAATTAACACTCCCCAGTACCCTCTCCTCTACTAGAGATATCCCTGTATACAAAAGAACCATCCAAATGCCCCAAAACCTTTTTAACAAAACCTCTCAGCCCTTAGCAGGACACAAAAAGGAGTAGGTATTACACCACACAGCGTTGCCCCATAACCTGTTTGCAGTTCAGGACCCCAACACATGCAATCTCATGAGGTCCCAGTCCTGACTCATCCCTCACCTGCTCTGCAGACCTGCTCCTTCCTTGCATGGCCATTTCCCCTCCTACCCAGCTCTTGCCTTTGGTAGCAGAGCCCATTTGCAGCTGCTTGCTCCAGGACCTTACCTGCCTTTTCCCGCACCCAGCGGTAGGTGGGATCAGCCACCTCCATCTCCTTTGGGCTGCAGGGCAGTGAATACAGGCTGCTGTCCATGTGGATGAAGACAAGGCCTAGGCCAGAGAAAGAGAGACGAGAGCTGGGGCACATTTCAGGAATTTCAGGGCATTGGGATGAAGCAGAGCTGGGGCTGAGCAGAGAGGAGGGTTTGGAAGTCACTGGGAACTTTTGTGGGATCTGAATGGACCCAACCCCACAGGGGACCATCCTGGAGGGAGATCTGAGGATGTTTAGGGGCTTAGAGTAGAGAAAATGCCAGGAGCTGGAGGAATAAGAGGCACCAAATGAGATCACAGTGAGCAGAGCTGGTGGAGATGATGGAGACAGGCTGGGCCATCTCTGCTTGTGCTGGCTGCAGCTGGGAAGCCACATCCCCTGCCCAGGTTGTTGGCAGAGCAGGCGATGGAGAGAGGCTCCTCTCATCTGTGCCTGGACACGGGCTGGGTGATGTGACTGCTTCAAGCAGGAAGGAGACCCCCCGAAGGGTCAGGGAGGTCCCAAAGGAGAGCTCTGTGGATCTCACCTGCTTTGTGCTCCTGGCTGGGGCTGGTGGGAAGGTGCCCAGGGACGGACGCCGGCTGCCCTAAATGGGAAGCAGAGGGGCTCAAGTTCAGCTTGGGGGGCTCTCACCTCACTCTCTTCTGCTCTCCAGGGCTTCCGTTGGCCCTCCAAGGAGAATATATCCACCTCCACACTGGTTGTTTACCTGAGCAGCTACAAAGCACCAAGGTCAGCATCCCCACAGCCCCCAGCACCCCAGGCGCCCTAGGGTCTACCCAGAAGCGTGGAGCGTGGAGCATCCTGCCCCGCTGCGCAGTGTGGAGCATCCAGTTACCATGGCAATGAGGAATCTGCTGCTTCCTCCCCCTGTCACCTTAGTGATGGTTCACAGGCAGGGCAGCATCGTGGCTGCTGCCCAGCTTGGTCACACTCATTTTTTGGGGGGCTTTGTGGGAAACACAGGGACCATCACGGGGCAGGGCACACTGGAGGAAATACAGCTGGGGATATCCTAGTAGAAGGGACATGGGCTTGCAGGGACGTGGTGAAGAAGAAGAGGAGGTAGAAGATGAGAGTGCTATGCAAAGCTTCTTTTTGGTGGAAATCATAGAAAAGCAAGAGGCAAGGAAAACCCAGACAGCCTAGATTGGAGTTTGTGCCATAACTCAAGGCAATCTCCTGGTTTGTATCTGAATCTCTTTTAAGGGGTGTGTTTTCCTAATGTTCCTGTTTGTCCTGGAAAGGAGATTTAGTTTCCTATGATTGTCTCTTGAGAACTAAAAGTGTGCAGTTAAAAGATAAGGACAGACAGAAAGAGTAAAGCTAAAATCTCCTTCTCACTTGTACCAGGGTTTCTGTAGGCGAGGGGTGAGGGAGGGAGCACATCCTACTGGCTTGTGAAAAAAAATGTATACTTGAGAAAATGGCAAGAGTTAAAAAAATAAAATAAATCAGAAAACACCTACTACTTCAGCTAAAGTACAGCAGAAATATGGAGCACTCAAAATTTAAGGGCAGCAACAATTTAAAGTAGAAAGCGCTGATAATTATTCTTGGGGAAAATTGTCAGAAGTGAAGGTGGCTCCTCCTGAAATGATGAAATCATGAGAAAATCATGAGAAAATCCTTATCCTTCCCAGCCCTGTGGCTGGGAGGGGTGGGGTCAGACCCAGAGCTGAAGGGAAGGGCAGGGCCGAGCAAGCATCTCTGGAAGCTGCTCATTTCCAGGCTGTGCCGATGGAGAATTTTTCACCCTGGTGAATAATAGGATGAATGACTCTAGTGTTTATTTTAAAAGAAAAAAAAAATCCCCCTACGTACCAGATCTCAAGTTTCTCTGACAGTTTTAGCATAAATAAACAAAGTCTGTCCTGAAATCCCTTGGGATAGGAACACGTACTTGCGCAAGCAGCAGAACAAACCAAGCTCCCTCTCGATTTATGATGCAGGGCCGCGCATTCCCTCCTGCCTGGGGAAGGCTGAGGCACCACAGCTGCGGCTTCTCTCTCCCATCACCTCTCCTTACTAAACATGTAGGAGCTTGACAGTATCTCTGAGATCTGCACTCTGCCTAACTGCAGCGAAACTTGTGTTCAGGAGTTATTATGAAGAGGGCAACCGGCCAGGCCAGGCTCTGAATTATTCCACGGATCTCATTTCCTGAGGAAACCAGGCTAATAATATGTATGATCTGAGGCAGGTGTGACACTTTTGAAATTTCCTTTTATTTATTTATTTATTTATTTATTTATTTATTTATTTATTTTTTAATTCATCGGCTCATTAAGGGATTTGTTTGTGAGTTCTCAGAAAATGTGGTTAACAGTCGCTGAGCATGTGCTGCAGCACCAGGAGATGGGGCACCCCTCTTACACAGCAAAGAGCTTGGCTCCCTGCTTGAAATGCAAAATTCAGGCTCGTGGATGAAGCTGAGCCTGGGTCATCCATAGCAAAATGCCATGAATACAGATTCTCTTTCTCACCATCTTGTAGCATTTGTTACTCATTTGCTTATCTTGGAGAGAGAGAGCAGAGCAGCTGCTTCCATGGGCTCAGAGAAGGTCATTCCCAGCGTTGTTCTGACTCAGAATTAACCTCTCCTCCCTCCAAAAGAGTGGTGCATTCACATAAAAACTCCATTTATAAATAAGAATAGATACAGGAGAGTCTCAGTAGTTCCTCTGATCTTACATGACAGGAAGGAAAGGATCTGGGATTTGTGGGTGTTTTGCCTCAAGGAAGTTTAATTTGTCCTTGTTTTATATAAACAGAGGCAGTGCCCAGGGATGGAGGAGCATCCTGTTGTGCCATACAAGCACAGACCCACCTTCTGCCTCTGGCACTCTTCCTGCTGTCACTCTCTGACCCCTGCTGGCAGATCTCACAGGACCTCACAGTCTTTCTGTCCTCACATTGGTGCCCTAAAATTAGCTGTGCTTGACTTGGGAGACCTGGACTGCCAGAAATGAAGTTAAAACTGACTGAAGCTGTCTACATCTAAGTCCAGACACACAACAAGAGGTGCCCAACTTTACTTGGGTGGAGATTGTACTCTGTCCTGGTTTCAGTTAGCACAGAATTAATTTTCTTCCTAGTAGCTGGTGGAATGCTGTGTTTTGGCTTAGGATGAGAAGAGTGCTGATAACACCCCGATGCTTTAATTGTTGCAGAGCAGTGCTTATACTAAGCCAAGGACATCTCAGCCTTTTGCTCTGTCCTGCCAACGGGCAGGCTGGGGGTGCAGTAAGAGCTGGGAGGGGACAGACCCAGGACAGGTGACCCAAACTAGCCAAAGGGGTATTCCATACCATCTGACGTCATGCTAAACAATATATAGGGGTGGCTAGCCGGGGGGAGGGGGCCGGACTGCTCGGGGTTAGGCTGGGCATCGGTCAGCGAGTGGTGAGCAATTGCATTGTGCATCACTTGTTTGTACATACTATTATTACTTTCCTATTATCACCATTGTATTATTATTGTTATTATTTTATTATTATTTTGTTATTATTATTTTCCTGTCTTATTAAACTGTCTTTATCTCAACTCACGGGCTTCACTTTCCATTTCTCTCCCCCGTCCCAGAGAGGGAGGGGGGAGGGTGAGCGAACGGCTGCGTGGTGTTTAGCTGCCGGCCAGGTTAAACCACGACAACTCCAAAATAGTCACCAGCTGTGGCTTAATGAGACAGTGCCTTGTTTCCTTGGGGACTCCCCAGGGGCATCCAGGGAACTACCACTATGATAGAAACAAGAGTTTTAGGACCCTGGCTGGTTCCAGTCCATCAGACCCTGATCCCACTATGCTATTTAGCACAAAGGATGCTTTCTGCAGCCCTTGAGTGTCTATGGAAGTCAGAGGTGGAACTTTTGGGATGCATCCTAAAGAGGTGCTTTGGTATCCCAGTGTCCTGGAGCACCACCTAGAGAGCACCGCAGCTGCTCTGCGCCTTGGTTTCAGACCAGACCTGATGACTTGGTGAGTCTTCTGCTCCAGGAATGCTCTCTGCTAACAACAGCAACACTCATTATCGTAGGCAACAAGTTGTGTCCTCATTACAGGGTTGCATTTACCTCCCTGTGAAGTCCCAAACCCTGGGACAGGCAGTGGTGCTCATCTTTAAGGAGGAGACTGGCACAACCTGGCAGCTGTGGTGGACAGCCAGGTCCTGAGAAAGGAACCCCAGACTTCAGATCCTAGCTGGAGTCAGCTGAACATGGCTCGTTAGGCAGGAATTATGCCCCTGTCTCTCTTCCTGTGATAAATAATGTTTGTGGTGATAAATATTCAACGTGGGCACCAAAGCAACAAGGCTGGCTTTCCTCTCTTAGCTTGTTTTCTTCTGTGAAGGGTCAAGGGTTGTTATTAAAGGCAGGAGCTGCACTGATACCACCTCGGAATTAACCCTGGTGGTGCCAGGCTATTCTCTGAGACCTGCAGGAGGGTTTTCGGTGCTTGGCATGGCTCTGCCATGAGCTTTTTCCAATTGGTGAGCAATGCACAGTGTTAGGAGCAGAAGGACCATCTGGAAAGCAGAAAAAGCAGGGTGCAAAGGCTGGGAGATGGAGGGAAACGCAGCTACTGTGTGTGTGGAGCTGATGGCGTTTAGGGAAAAAGGTCTGAGTGGGCTGGGGAGCAGGTGGCTGGGGTGGGCAGCAGGTTCAGCCCAAAGGTACCTGGAAAGGCTCAGTGACTTCTGATGGGAAGGATGGAGATTTCTCCCTGGCAGGTGACATAGGGACATAAAGGAAAGTTGCATTGGCCTCTGCCAGAGGGAGGTGAAATAGCAGGAGGAGGACAGCAGAGGGTAGCAAATACCTGGCTTCCTCTCCTGGCCGCGCAGGGCTGGGGTGAGCCAGAGGCACGGTGAGGCAGTGAGCTTGGTACAGATCCACAGTGCTCATCTGGGCAGACTTTGTTTAAGAATATAAGAGGGAATGAGGCGTTTTGATAAGGTGGATATGTTCTTATCACAAAGGCTTGCTCTGAAAGACGTTTCCTTTAGAAATTTCCTGCTGAGATAGCCAGGGTGACCCATCACCGCTAGGGAGAAGGCGAGGCAGAATGAGATGCTTTGATAACAGTCAGAGTGGAAGGTTTTGACCAAATGAAAAGAAATTTCTCTGCGTGGGGATCTCACATCCCAGGAGTGGCAGCAACTTTGCATTTCCGTTTCTTTTGGGGCAGATTCTTCCTGAGTTTTCAGCTCTGAGCTTTGCCCAGCTTTGCCCTGGTGTTGTGCTAGTGGGTTGCAAGGATGGAGATCCCCAATTTCCACCCCTGTGTGTCCACCCAAGGCCACATCTGCTCTCACTGGTTGAGAATGACAGCAGGTTTCCTTCATGGACACAGCCAGCCAAGTACAAATCAAAAGCACAGACCTCATATTGGAAGACCCAAAGAAATTCCCTGTGCCTGAGTCCTGCTCTCACTCCTACCAGTGCAAACCAGCCCAAAGATATTGCCTCCAGCATGTCAGGGTCTCCTGCTGCCCTAGCATGCTGCAGGGGCTGCTTGTAAATGCTCTAAGTGTCATTAGCACCCCACGGCTAATTAGCTGGGCAACCTGTCTCCCTCCTTGCCTGCAGTTGTGGGCTCTTATAAGATCCCCTATAAGAACACATCTTATAAGATATGAGTCTTATTCACTGCTGGGAGGGGACAGCCACAGCAGCCAGTCCTGCTGTGGTGGCCCCTGGGTATCCCAGGGCAGAGTTAAGTCTCGTTCTTGCTCTTCACAGAAAATCTTTTAACTCCTCAGTGATTTATTTTTTATTTTTATTTTTTAATGATGACCATGAATGTCGCTGTCTGCCAAGTACAAATGAGT